GTGAAACCTACTCGTGCGTAATATTCGCTCAGTGTCACCATTATCATTATCGCTGTCCACATCACTGCTTTCTACCTCACCATCTTCTCTTCAGTATCATCAATATAATCATTTTCATCACCACCATTACCACTACCATGAGCCAACTGTATACTTATTAACACTCATGTCGTCACTGCTAAAATATATATTAGCGCAGTTATCATAATCATTATTGCAATATACTGGAGCATCTTAGGGCATGTATTTATGTCCAGATTTCTTTTTAGCAACAATATAATCTTTATATATTTGTCTATATCTCTGAGAAAAGGTATTATGATTACTTGCATTATTTACATTATTCGGACTGTTATCTTAATCTTCATTGGCATATTCCAATGTTTCGGCCGTTGTACGCTTCCGCCTTCTTCAGATGATTGGATCTCTAAGATGAGGTATCATGATTACTTGCATAAAACGTCGTGAATATGGCAACGAAGATGAGGATAACAGTCCGAATAATGTAAATAATGCAAGTAAGCTTGATATATTTATTGATATAATAAATAGAATTAAATGCTAATTTCTCTTATCCTTACTCAGAGTTCAACATCCATTATTCAAAAGACTTGATTATACGATTGAATTTATTTTCAATAAATACATTCAAAATGGCTTTCAGCGGGTGAAGCAAGCGAGGGGTTTGGCAAAAACTACTTTCTATGAACATTGTGGACTGGTGCTACAGGATCACACAGAAAGAACTATACCAAATAAGAGACTTGAGGACTATCAACAGCAATACAACTAAAATAGCACATTTAACTCAAAGCGAAAATAAAGACATGATCAAGATGTTGACATTTCACACTATCAATACTGAAAACTGCTATAAAACCTACTGAACTTAAGAAACCAATTTGCCTGAAAAATTGTTTCAAAAAAAATTAAAACCTTTATAAGTTTCAACTGAAAGTACTGGGTTCACGGTCAATAAATGCTTAATGTTTCAATATAGGGAAACGGCTAATATGACCATTACCAATTTTACAATCAACTTCTCTGAAGTGTTGAAGTAATCGCCGTAAATTTCGCGGCCAAGGTAAATTTATATTTAATTTTATTTATTAATATAAATAACGTTGTATCTGTTAATATTGAGCACTATATTTCAAAAATAACTTTTTTGCTTTAATAATCGTCCTCTAAATAATCTGATCAACTTCATCGGCGATACGAACTTCGTTATTGTTATATTTGTATAAATAAAACATTGTCAACCATTGTTATTAATTTTGACTAGTACTTACTTTCATATTCATTTTTAATTTTTTTTTCTATTTCAATCTTTAGTCAGGTCGTCAATCTACGGCAGTGGTCCCCAATTTTTTTTTCACTGGGCGGCATTTTCGTAATTAAAATTTGCTCGCGCCTCACCAAATTTTATTTGATAAAAAGTACATTAAAATAAACAGAGAGGATTAAAGGGAGATAATATTATCATTGATAACTCTCTCCACCAATTTTGCAGGCCCTAGTTACTATATTCTTAATACTTGATATAATGCAAAAATATCACAATGATAAAATCGGTCAATAATTATTTATAACAATTTATACTAGAACTCATTATTATATTAGAAATGCAATTACAAGGAATCCATAATAATATTTTAAATTTTGAAATCATTTTTATTTTTGGCATATGAATATTTTTAAAACGGTTTCTAAGTCTTTGATTGTCTTTCAATCATTCCGCCTAACCTGCTATCTTCTTCCGCCGTACCTATGAGGCACGCCACACCGTTTGGGAACCGTTGATCTACGGCTATGTGTTAACAACGCAAATTAAAGATAAAGCATAAGCTGTCGATGAGACTCCAATGAAAGTCTTTATTGCTTCAGCGAAGTTTCGTTAAACGCACCAGCTGCTCTTCCCAACGAAACTACAAGGACTCAATGGCTTTGCAAAATATTAAATCAAACTTTTAAAGCAACCTCCATTCTTCCTCGATCGTTCTCGGTGCTATATTTATTTATGTACTTACGCCAGTAATTTTAGTATCAGTCATATTAAAGTTATTTATTCTTTATTGATGTTTCAAACTATTCTCGATCGACGCTTGATTTTCAAAACTTCGGCAATTGTATTGAAACCACATTTCAACACATTTGTTCCATAAAAAATATTATTGGTGCTTATTAAACTACAAAGTCTAACATTATCTATCATTATATATTATAACATTATCTATCATTATATATTATAACATTATCTATTAATCTATATTTCTGGTTGCTGTTAACATTACATATCATGACATTATCTATCATTATATATTATAACATTATCTATTAATCTATATTTTTGGTTGCTGTTAACATTACATATCATGACATTATCTATCATTATATATTATAACATTATCTATTAATCTATATTTCTGGTTGCTGTTAACATTACATATCATGACATTATCTATCATTATATATTATAACATTATCTATTAATCTATATTTCTGGTTGCTGTTAACATTACATATCATGACATTATCTATCATTATATATTATAACATTATCTATTAATCTATATTTCTGGTTGCTGTTAACATTACATATCATAACATTATCTATCATTATATATTATAACATTATCTATTAATCTATATTTCTGGTTGCTGTTAACATTACATATCATAACATTATCTATCATTATATATTATAACATTATCTATTAATCTATATTTCTGGTTGCTGTTAACATTACATATCATAACATTATCTATCATTATATATTATAACATTATCTATTAATCTATATTTCTGGTTGCTGTTAACATTACATATCATAACATTATCTATCATTATATATTATAACATTATCTATTAATCTATATTTCTGGTTGCTGTTAACATTACATATCATGACATTATCTATCATTATATATTATAACATTATCTATTAATCTATATTTCTGGTTGCTGTTAACATTACATATCATAACATTATCTATCATTATATATTATAACATTATCTATTAATCTATATTTCTGGTTGCTGTTAACATTACATATCATAACATTATCTATCATTATATATTATAACATTATCTATTAATCTATATTTCTGGTTGCTGTTAACATTACATATCATAACATTATCTATCATTATATATTATAACATTATCTATTAATCTATATTTCTTTTTGCCGTTTTCTTTAATGGAAATACTGATGTTCAAGTAAATATCCTCGTTTTTCTTACAGTGTAAATTTATGTGTACCGAATTTTGCATTCAAGCGACTCATAAATAAAGAAACGATACTTTCCAACAGGATTCTACTCGGCATTGTACTTATAGGAGAAAACAACGTGTGTCTTAGACCGCTCTGTCACTAAAAGCTTTCACAGGAAAGTACATATTCCTTATTAAGACTCTCGAATGCACAAGCCAGTAGATGTAAAATTATACTGTTTAAAAATAATAGTGAAGCTTACAAATGTATCCACTAAATATAGGGCTTAAAATTATAAGAAATTATGTTGGATTACAAACAAAATCCATTAATTCCTACGAAATCGTTTTATCTGTCTTTATCTGTGTGTATGACCATTTTAACTATATTTTCGTGCTATCACCGAAGTTAAGCAACGTCGAGCTGGGCAGTACCTAGATTGGTGACCACTTGGTAATACCAGATCCTGTAAGCTAGGACGTGCCGGTTGTGAAATCGGTAATGCCACGGAAATGCAAACCGGAGAGCCAATTCTGGTCGGGTTGGTCATATTCTTTTACACGCAACTCTTGGAAAAGGTACGCATCCACCTCTTCTCTCTCTAGCTATGGGTTAATTTGTAGAACTTGTATCAGTGAAAATTATTATTATTTCCCCCCAAATATATATATATATATATATATATATAGTTTTGAATTTAAAAATAAATTAAATTCAACATCATTGAATGACTCAGCAAATTTTACAATGGCATAAAATAAACTAACCTACCTTCATGATTCAACGATGGAGCATTGTCAACGATTATAATAAATCTTTGACGAGTACTTTCTTTCGTTTTCTTTTTTATTTCCGATTCGCCTTAATTCAATAGTCTACAGTTACGATAAAAAAATACAAAATAAAAATTATAACGAAAGTACTAAAATTTACAAAAATTAGTAATAATTTATTTCTACATTGTATGTAAAATAAATGTAGTGTTAACGATCATAACTAAACCTTTCCTTTTTGTCGAAGGAAGTCAGTTAGGAATCAAATCATAGTAAGTCAATTCAATACTTCAGCGCTCCCACCAGTAATCTGGCCGCTTTCAATAATGTTAGGGAATAGAATAGTTTTTACGCTTACTCAGATTTTTTTTTCCTACAGAATCTTTCCAAGTGTTAAAATTAAGATGATCCAATCGCCAGCATCATTTTTGTTTTCTGGTAAAGCTCAGATATATTTATTGATTATAAAATTGGTATTCAGGTTTATCCAGTGTCTTTTACTGAAAACCGAGTGTCATCATTTTTTTCTCAAAATTCCAGTACTCTCTTCAGTATTCTTGCCGATTTCAAGAATACCACTTTCAGTATAATTTCAGTTTCTTTTATTATTATTTTTTTTTTTTTTTTTTTACGAAATGATGCGGAGGATACCACGAAAACATACTTAACATAAGGAAAATACAGTTGGAATATCTGGGTCACATAATGAGGAAGGTGGGCTTGGAAAATCTGATACTCACAGGCCAGATTGAGGACAAGAAATACTCGAGGAAAACAACGGGTAACATGCTTAATAAGATTGAGGAAGTGGGTGCGGAACAGGGTTTAGGAGAAATAACAAAAAATCAATATTTATTAAAAGCTACAAAGGACAGGAAACTGTGGAGATTTATGATCGCCTACGTCCTGAGAGGACACGGTGCATAAAAACGTTCTTCTAGTCGTTAACACTTACAATAATGAATAGATACAATTTGATACCTGCATTTTCCGCATTTATTTATTTA